AAGGGGTGCGGGGGTCGCCACGAGAGGCACCTACAGCTACAATACTCTTCTCAGCTGCAAGCAGTTCCTTCTCGAGGAGGTCAATGGTGAGCTCAGTGGGGCAGCGGGCTAGGAAGTGGTCCCTGACTGTACGCAGAGTGTCAGGGAGGCGGGTGACTAGGTGGTAGAGAGTGAGCCAGAGCGGGGGAGGGTGGGAGGCAAGAAACTCAGCAGGCATAGCGGCACGGAAGCGGGCCTCACTAGTGCGGAGGTGCGTGATGAGGTCAGCGACTGTCTGGAAGGCGGACAGGTCAGGGAACAGGTAGGGAAGCGAGAGACGGCCTAGTGCAGCAGAGGCCGGGGAGGAGTAGCGCGCAACTACAGCAGTGTACAGTGCCTGGGCAGTCTTATGCTGGCCGAAGTGCTCGCGCTCATCTACAGGCAGGGAGTTGCGAATAGCGAAGCGAGCATGGGCGTCACGAGTCTGACACTGGGTGCGGGTAGTGGCGTCAGCATCAGTAGCAAGGGGCAGCAGCTTTGCCTAACGCATGATCGTACAACGAGACATCCTCCCTGGCAGTGAGCTGGAGGAACAGGTGCAGATCATCGAGCCAGATCTCAAACTTAATCGGGCGGCCCTCAGCATCGAACGAGAGAACTGTAGGGCTAGCCATAGCTGAAGTAGTAGCAGTAGCAGCAGTAGTAGTAGCAGGAGTAGCAGTAGTAGAAGCAGTAGGAGCAGTTCAGTTCAGTACTAGCACTGTTGCTCGGTTAAGGAGGGCGCGGCTCGGCTAGGGCGGCGCGGCTCGGCTAGGGCGGCGCGGCTCGGTCGGGTCGCGCGGTTCGGCTCGGGTCGCGCGGTTCGGCTCGGGTCGCGCTGCTCGGCTCGGTCATAGAGGGGCGAGCGCGGGGCCGTAAGGGGCCGCAAAGGGAGAGCGCGGGGCCGTCCAGGGCGAGTGCGAGGCCGTTCGGGGGCCGTTCGGGGCTAGCGCGGGGCCGTCCGGGGGCCGTGAGAGGCTAGCGCGGGGCCGATCCGGGGCCGTAGGGGGCTAGCGCGGGGCCTGAAGGGGCCGTGAGAGGCTAGCGCGGGGGCCGCACGGGGCCGTTCGGGGCTAGCGCGGGGCCATTCGGGGCCGTGGGAGGCTAGCGCGAGGTTGACGGGGAGCCTTAAGAGGCTAGCGCGGGGCCGTAAGGGGCCGTGAGAGGCTAGCGCGGGGCTGCGCGGGGCCTTAAGGGGCTAGCGCGGGGCCTTGAGGGGGCCGTGAGAGGCTAGCGAGGGGCCGACGGGGCCTTTAGCGAGGAAAGCGCGGGGCCGTGAGAGGCCTTAAGGGGCGACGCGAGGGGCCGTGAGGGGCCTTAAGGGGCGACGCGAGAGGGCCTTAGGGGGCCTTAGGAACGAGGCGCTCTAGGCGCAGGTAGGTAGGTAGGATAGTGTGGGCCCTAAAAAAAATCGGTCCTAGCGAAGGACCTGCTCTGAAACCATGTCAGAAGTACGAGACAGGAATGAATGAACTAGCAGTGAAATGAGTACAAGTAGGAAACCCTAGAATTGTGTACCCCCTATAGGCTAACCCACTGTAGCCTACACAAGCATAACATATATAATGTTTGACAAATAATATCGCTGCAACTGCTGCCATATTCTCTCTACCCCGAAATGTCCTGAGGTGACTCCGTCATGTGCCTCCTGAAGCAGTAATTTCTATAGTAAGGTGTAGCCCAATACCCAGATCCGATCGGTGCCGGCTTCAACATAATACACCCCGTGTGCTGCTGCGAACTGCAGCAAGTTTCCTTAAGTGAAGAACGGGTCGGTCTGGTAGCCGTGCGTGATTAGTTCTGTGAGTAGTGGGCTGGTCTAGACGAGTAGTATGGCGTGTATTTGAGCAGTGGGGCGGGTCAGTGCATCGGCGATACTCAATGCCCCCTTTTTGTAGGTGACCGTGTAGTGGAAATTCGACTCGAGGAAGTCGAGCCAACGAATCTAATGTGGGTTGAGGTGAGGTTCTGTGCGGAGGTACTGTAGTGATCTCTGATCTGTCCATACTGTCACGTCTGCGCCGGTCAAGTAACAACGCCACACCTTGAATGCGTGCACGATCACGAGCATTTCGTGGTCGTGTATCGGGTTATTTCTCTTGGGCGGGTGCAGATTTCGTGACTCGTATGCGATGGGCTGTAGGCCGTTGCCGAAATTCGATTGCGATGTCGCTGACGGCTGTAACTACTTCAAAGGGGCGATGTGGGTCGGCGATGCGGAGTACAGGCGGGGAATAGATAACAGTTTTCAGGGCGGGGAAGGCAGCATGCTTTTTCTCCCCCCAAGTAAACGCCACTCTTTTCCACAGCAAATCCGTGAGTGGGGCTGTTAAGCGCGCCATATTGGGTACGAACCGACTGACGTAATTCACGAACCCTAAGAAACTCTGCAGCTCCAAGATGTTGGTCGAGGGACGCCACGCTTTTACCGTGTCTAACTTCTTTGGGTCAAATTTGAATCTAGCATCTGAAATAACGTGCCCCAAAAATTCTAACCGGTCCTGAAAAAACTCTCACTTCGAACCCTTGGTCAGTAGGCGATTCTGGTCTAAGATTTTAAATAATGCTTCCAAATCCGTCAAGTGCTGCTACTTGTCGCGACTGTAGACCAGGATGTCATCAAGGTAAACCATCATGTATCTATCTAAAAGTGGCCTAAATGCTTCGTTCATGGTCATCTGAAAAGTCGCCGGTGCGTTGGTCAGCCTGAATGGCATTACTTTGTACTCAAATGACCCGTACCTAGTTCTGAATGCCGTTTCAGCGCAGTCTGATGGTTAGATCCTAATCTGATGGTAACCTCCCCGTAAGTCAATTTTCGAAAAGACCCGTGCTGTTCGCACTTGATCTATCAGTTCGTCGGCGCGGGGGCTGGTGTGGGCTGCTAGAGGCTGGTGTGGGCAGGCATGGGTAGGCAAGATGGGTAGGCGGCCACCTGTGATCACCACCAAACGCCCCCTCGTTCGCCACCTGTCAGGTTTCCATGGGATACAGCCAAGACAGAAGAGGCCACCTGGTCATGTGTGTTCTGTTGAGACATCTCAAAAGTCGTTTTGAGATGTCTCAAAAGGTTTCTATGCGGTACAGCCAGGACAGAAGTGGCCGCCTGGTCATGTGTGTTCATTTGAGACGTCTTGAGACATCTCAAAAGGTTTCCATGCGGTACAGCCAGGACAGAAAAGGCCACCTGGTCATGTGTGTTCTTGCTTCGCTTGCTGACACCATTCCCCAGGGGCAACTTAACGTTCGCATCGTCGCTCGCCCCTAGGGTGTCATCTCCTCAACCTTCTTATCCCATCTAGTCCACCCGTCTGCTTGTCTTTGACATGCTCATGCAACTGGATGGGCACACAAACCAAGTGCTCTCTGACTGCTGCTTTTGTCCTTCTCTTTGTCCCTGCTGCTGCCTCTCGCTCTCCCACTTGCTCGGCTCCTGTCTCATTCTCTTTAGTTACCCTCTCTTTCCGTCTTTCCTTCCACCAAGGGAGTTGGACAGGCACACACACGACAGCTGCTGCTGTGCACCTCCTTTCTATCTTCCCGTTGTGCTCCCCCGCTCACTAGCTTGGCATCTTCCTCCCTTTCCATCCTTTCTATCCTTCCTTTACACCATGCTCTCGCACAGAGGGAGCTGGACGGGCGCACGTACTATGACTTTGAGTTTGTGGCACAGGCATCCAACTACACTCGCCACACTCTTGGCACAATCGCCATTGCCAGCGGTACGTGCTGCGGCAAGCTTGCTGCATGTACAATAGCAACAGACTGCAGGGGCAGAGAAGATGTTAGAAGTAGGGGCCGAGTGGAATCTCTGTTGGCTTTACAAATGTGGGATGATAGCCACTCTGTAGCATTGTCCTGCACTTTTCTTGTGTGTGGTACTGTATCCTTTCTCTGGCTGAATCTGTGTGTGTGTGTATATGTGTGTGTGTGTATGTGTGTGTGTGTGTGTGTGTGTGTGTGTGTGTGTGTGTGTGTGTGTGTGTGTGTGTGTGTGTGTGTGTGTGTGTGTGTGTGTGTGTGTGTGTGTGTGTGTGTGTGTGTGTGTGTGTGAGTGTGTGTGTGTGTGTGTGTGTTTGTGGTCGTGGTGAGGCAAGTTCTACACGCTGACAACTGGGGAAAATGAGCGTTGCTGGAGGAAGGTGAATAAGAAGCTTCGCACAGTGGTGGCTTCATTTGTCACTCTATAGACTTAAGCAGGATCGCTTGTCTTGTGGTGTCTGTGCGTGTGTGTGTGGTGGGGGGGACACATAAGAATAAGACAACAAAGCATGTGTCTGGTGGTTGATGTGTATGGTAGATAATATATTTCTGTTTCAGAGAATTGAGGTGGCTTGATCACCTGCTTAACGAATCGGATGTTTTCAGTGTATCAATTGCACACTACACTTGCAGCGAAGATTCCAGTTGGTGCTGTATTCATGGAGGTGGTCTTCGTGACAGGTCAAACAGGCCCTGAGTCTTTGCTAAAACCTGCACCAACACCAAAACCTTATGACTCTTGAGTCATGCCTGAACTGATAAGCTATTTACTGCCCTGATAATTAGAGATATTGGTGATGAAAAATAGAGATCAGTGATGAGACGTACGTTACTTCATTTGGGCTTCTGTACACAATATGGTACATGGAATCAAAGCGAGCAATGTGCTATTGGGAAAGTTAACACTCCACATTTGCGCTATTATACTGCACAACCATTTATGTGCATGTTCATGACCTTATGCGAGATTGTCCTGCATAATGGCTCCTGGCACAGCTTTGAAGGCACCTCAAAGAAGCCCCTAGGGCCTGATATGAGTAGCATAATCTAGTCAAAGGTCAACTCAGAATGTCGATGGTACGCAAATAGACCTTGCTCCTACAGTACCAGAGCAAGACCTACCATTGTAGTTGCAAAACTGTGCAATTGCGGTTGAGGTAGTTCCACCATAGAAGTGGTAAGCACCTGAGCATGGCATTGATGGCTGCACAGGCTTGATCCTACCCTTCTTGCATATCCCCATCGTGAACGACCAATACTCTGCTGTCAGGCAAATCTGGGATCATAGAAGCATGGGACGGAGCCTCAGGAGTTGGCGGAGAAACCGAAGCAGACTAACAAGGGATGCATCATAGTTGCACGAGGTCTTTCGGGAACAGTGCAAAGCTCTCTTACTTTTGCCCACCATTCCGTGCTCCCCCATCCCAGAGGGTTTCCCCCCAGCCCTCACAGTCCTCACCTGTACACCAATGTTGCTGCCGACAGCGGAGGCAGAGGAAGGGATAGTGGCAGAGCAAGTGAGGCCAGGATTGTTGCGGTACAGTGCAGCCCATTGATTCTCAATGGCACTGACACCTCCTGGTGAAGTGCCTGTCCTCTGAAGCAGCCGCTCGCACGTGTCTTGAGGTGTGAGCGTGCCGTATCTCACACACTCGGGTACGGTGAATGCGAAGGCAGCACTGCGCTCAATGCACACGGAGCTGCCGGCTTTGATGGGCTTGGAGCAGTCAAGGCCGGGGTTGAGTGCGGTGAGATCAAGTTCTGTGAACTTGAGCGGTCTGCTGATGTAGGCACAGGTGTCCCCCTGGAGGGTTGGAGAGAGGCAGGAATAGGGATGCACAGATGATTGGATCTTGCTCACTTGCATTGACAATCATGCAATATGTTGAGCTGAGAAGGTGAGTTGGTTGGGTGAAAGCGGCAGGTCTCACGTTGAGGGAGTAGAAGAAGGCAGTGCAGGGTGTGGCAGGAGTACCATCCAGCTGAAGAACACTGCCCTTGGGCAACGGCTGGCTGCAGTCAATGCCCTGAAGTAGGAGACACGTGCATGGAAAAGAGTTTTGTATGGGCAAGGTCACATGGGCAAGGTCACATGGCAGGACCTTCACTCCTTTCTGGGACTTCGGTGAGAGTAGGGTCGTCACTCCTTGATACGCAATAGAACATTCTAGGAGTCTTCTTGTCAATAAAAAGCCGGAACAAGGAAGTGAGATGTAACAAGTGGCGTTTTGAGAAAACAAAGTGAATATGGAAAGTGCAATCCAAATGACGGATGATGGTTGGCATATAACAGCATCACCTCTTCACCTCATCACTTACTATGTTTTGGTCAGTGAAGTCAATTAGTGAGAGGCCAACAAGGGGATGAACATCAGAGCACCACCAGTTGTCGCAACTGACTGTCATTGTGGTGGTCGTGGTGTTGGCTGCAGACAAGAAATGGGAGTGAGAGAGAGGCATTGAAAAAAGAGTCAGAGAGCAAGTTAAGATTTGCAGAAACAGAAGAAAAAAGAAAAGCAAATCAGACCTACAGACATATTTAATCCCCCTACTTGGATCGCAGGTGGGGAAGCCGTCAATTGTTGTGCTCTGAACGTGGTTGGGAGGGCAGACGCAGGAGTAGGAGCCCTTGCCATCGTTGATGCATGCTCCCACGTAGCAGGGGTTCTTGAAGTATGACCCACACACGTCCACTGCCACACGTGCACCGGGGTGGGTGGGTGGAGGATAGTACAGAGATTGTAGATGGTGGATTTTGGAAGACCCACACACGTTCACTGTCACACGTGTTCCGGGGAGGCGGATATTACAGAGATTGGGGAAGGCGGATATTGGAAGATGTAAATTATCTTTTGAGTCGACAAAATGTTCTTGAAGTATGACCCACACACGTCCTGTGCCACATGTGTGCAGAGATTGAGGAAGGTGGATATTGGAAGAAGAGAGTCAGTTTATGAGTGGACTCAAAAATCTTACAGACTGACCCACAAACGTCCACTGCCACACGTGTTCTGGGGTGGGAGGGTGGCTAATGGTACAGAGCATTGAGACAGATATGGTACTTCAGATAGAAATGAGTGGGAAACTAGGGGAAAGAAGAAGGGGTATATGGGCTGTGCATTCCCATCCAGCCAGACGGCAACCAAACCTCTGGCCCCTGCAGCTTGGAGACTTCTTACACACATCGGAAGTGGGCCAGAGTACCAACTTTGCAGAGCACAGAATTTTGAGAGGAGTCTTGTTTCTCACCTCGTTGCCCTCGTTCTCTATGGCAACCATCGCATACATTTGAGAACTTATGCATGCCAAAACAGCCAGACAAACTTCAGCGAGACACCAGCCTACTTGCCCTTCTACTCATCTGCCCAATTGCCGCAGAACTCACCATAAGCACATGTGTTGGAGCCGTATCCATTCTCAACCTCCACAAAGGGCTGCACAGGAGCGGTGGGAATGTTGCAGGTGCAGATGTTGGTGGTGTCTGTCGTCCCCTGGCACTGGAAGCGACCGCACGGGTTCATGCTGGGCTGCGAATCCCCATCGCCCTTGTAGCTGCTCTGGCCGCAGGGGTCGCCTGGAACTGGGAGGTGTCAAAGAGGACGCACTTGAGGAACATGAGAATGGAGGTTGGCGGTCGCCAGCTAACGGACAGCTAACAAGTATCCACAGTGGAGCAGCGCCATTCAGTGCACATGTAACAGGTATGATGCCATGACCGACCACCCACTAGTGGAAGAAAAGTCAGATTTTCGGGTTGCGTGCTTTGTAATATGCCACCCTTGCTTGGTAATGAGGTGGATATGACCGAGTAGATATGACTTACTCTTGACGATAGGGTAGATGCCAGGTAGCATGTTAAATGCCACACACGCCATCCCCTCCCTGAATGTCCATGCGCATGTGCCCTCTCTTGCCCCACTCTTCTCCCCACGAGTTGCGGATGATCCAAAACGGAGGAGCAAAGCGGTTCTGGCTGCCATCGTTTCTTGTGATAAAGTAGCCAATAACGAGTACAACGTGGTTGAGATTGCCCGTGTAGCAACCAGGATCCTGGTACTTGAACGTCTGAAACAAAATGGGGCCACAACAAACATAGATGGGGAGTTCAAGAAGCAGAGTCATATGGGCATGAAGAAGCGGTGGAAGGGGTTAAAGGACGAAGCACTGCAAAGTAATGGTAATTGGTCTATACGATCCAAATTCTTAGCAGAATAGCACCAGGAGTATCTGCCATAACTCAGGTTATGACTTTCAACACAAGGACCGCACATCTGAGAGAGAGTTGCAGCGACTCACCCCATCATACAGCATGAAGGTTGGAGATGCCTCAATGTGAACCACCACTGGCTGCCGCTGCACGGCCAGCATGAGCCCCACATACCCCTTGAACCGCGCTCGTTCAAACGCCTGCATCGGATGTGTTGTTGCCTAGGGCCACGAGGGGGAAGCATTGTTGGATGGGGAAAGATGGGAAGTGGTTTAGTTTGGGGGAGCTTGACAAAGTTGTGAAACTAGAGAGTGGTGCAACCGTTGCTCCTCCTGATGCAGGGCACACATAATAATTTCCTCCATGGCAGATGGTGGCTCAACAAATCAGCAACCAATCTCTCGGCCAAGTTTATATACTCTCATGACTGATTGGATGAGGTGATCTGGCTTCTAGTTTCAAGCCCAAGAGCAGCCAAGCTGGCAAAGTGACCCTCCATAAATCTCACACCCATAAACCTTTGATGTCTTTATCCCACCTCACAAGATACATACATACATACATACATACATACCACGTCCTCATTCTGTTTACCCTACCAGGTCACTGTCCCTTGTGAGACCACTGGCAGCATCGAGAGCTGTGAGCGTCTCAAAAGCCTGGGTGGGGGAGCCGCCAGCAGAGCACTTGTCTGAATCAGTGAGCCCCATGAGGGCGAAGAGTGCCTCCACTGACAGCCGGGGAGCGCTCTGCTGCTTTGCAATGCCGTATGCCGCCTCCACACTCGCCACCACCGCATACGCCCAGCACGCATCTGAGCAGGAAAGGTAGATCATTCAGTCAGGTTGAGTTACAGTATATAAGGTTCCTTGTCTTGATTAGGTGTACACTTCTCATCCCAAACCTCTCTAACCTGATCAATCCAAAATTTGACAATTTGAATGGAATCTCCAGCCTTTGTTTTGTTGAATTCTATTAATGTACTGTACTTACTGCAGTGAATACACGGAAGTGAAAATATTGCGATTATCTTTCCACTCACTGCAGTCGTTTTGGTTCTTGACAGGCCAGTTGAGGAAGGGCACATTGTCCCACGTGTGGAAATCACGAATGCTCCACGAGTCCGCTCTGGTGGCCGACAGCTTGAAGTCAGCACTCACATAGCGCAAAAAGGGACTGGCTCGAGATGGTGCAAATGTGGCCTCTGACAATGAGAAGCCGAGGGCTATGAGGGGTGGGAAGGGGTGGAGATGAAGGGAGATGTGGATGGGTAGTGGTTGAAAGGCATGGCACGGTCTGAACCCAATTCCTTGCAAGCTCCAATTGATTGCAAAGAAGTTAGACATGTGAGAAATTGACTGTTTTTTTTTTGTGTGTGTGTGTGTGTTTTTTTTTTTACAGAGCAGAAGGCTCCTCCTCAAGCATATCAGAAATGATTTGAGAAGGATAAGAAGGGAGTTAGAAGCAATCCCCAATGACCTCGGCTGAAACCGCCAAGTTAGCTGGTGTTGAGAGTGAAGCGAGCAAGACGCTTGTTGGTGACCCACTTAGCGGAGTGAAGGCACACACATTCCAGACACAATCTCAGATGGGAAGGCAGGACTTGAAACTATGGAGGAGCCTTTACGATGGGTGGTGAAGTCGGTTCTTGGAAGAGGTATGTGTTGACAGGAGTTGGCCCCGCCATCGCTTGGGCGAAGCCGAATTCACGGTCGGGTGCGCAGAAGGTGCAGCCGACCGCCTGCAGTGGTCGACGCCGACCTGAGCAAGCAGGTCGACAAAGTTGGTCGACCTGCGCGAGACCACTGTGACGCCGCCGACGACGGGAAGCCGGCGGCCAACTTCAACTGGGTGGTCGACGAAGGAGGCCGTCGACCGCAGGGCGCCGACTTGTGGGCGCCGACCGACGGGGCCGGGGACGTTGCCCGGCCTATTGTGTAACAAGGGCGACGAAGTCCTGCGGAGGTGCGCGAGCGTTGCCAGCTGTTTGGTGAAGTTGACCTGCGAGGTGGTATCCCGAGGTTGATGTGGCCCATTAGGCGCAACCATCAGCATGTGGCCGACTTGGCACCCGCGCAACGTTCGTGGCAATGCACGACGTGCACAACGTCTACAAGCACCTGCGACACACATGCACTTACAGTCACATGCGGTTGCAGCAATGGCGGACCGCTCTACTGCAGTGTTCGCAAGCCGCCTTGGTGTAGTGTTGGCAAGCCGCCGACTTGCTCTGTTGGCAGGCCGCCTTTCTGCAACGCTGGCGCGGTGCCAACCTGCAGTTCTGCCAGGTCACCGACTTTGCTGCGGCAGCGGTCGACCTGCGTGTGTGCTATTGCATCTGATGTAGTCATTGTTGAGTATCATTCTTACATAAATGTATCCAGCTTTTGCTAGTGAAATTCTTGCCAACTTTCCCTGTGAATGCGGATGTAGATAGAACACAAGCAACACTACGACCATTCGTACCACCTGTGCTTCCTTCCGTAGTTCAGCTCATGGTGTAGAGTGACTCTCCACAGTCTTGCCTTGCTTGGGGAAGACAGTTTCCAACTGCTCGAGCTCCCTATGGGTTGTCTGCACCTTGGTGACGTAATCAACCATCCCCCTTCGGAACGCACAATCAAAGTTAGCAAAAATTTTCTGTGGTTTTGCACGTAGATTACTAACAGTGACCGATGGCGACTTGGTGGGGAGTTTATGGACGATATGTGAGCACAATATATGTCTGAACATACAGAAGGTTCTGTGTTGCCACATGACATGTAGCTCACCTTGCTCCTTGGTCTGAACGACCTTGGATGAAGGGGCGCCTGTTGAGAAAAACACAAGACGAAAGATAAGCACAGAAGCGAGAGAGTGGGGGTTGGGTCTTGGATAGGGAGAGAGCACCACAACAGTGGGTAGCAAAGGCAAGTTCGTGCTAAATAGCTACCACTAACCACCATCTCGATAAATGCCTAGCCATGGCAGGAGACACAATCATCAATGCCCAGCCAAGACTCAATTGAAAACCCATAACATAGTGTATTTTTCATCAGAAATGAGTCAAGGCTTGAACCCAAATCGGCTTGAAAGGAACCGAGTTGGGCCAGAGGGATGGTCGAACCGAACCCGAACGGGTTCAAGTCAAACATGTTGATTCGGCCGAACCGTTCAAGTTCGGTTCGACCCAGCGTTCATGCCAGATTTTGAAAATTAAAACAAAGGGTACGAGAGGAAATTGGAGTTTGAAATTCTTTCTTGGACCGTAGAAGTAGATCCCGCACAATCCAAACCTCACGAGTTGACTCGTCGTTCTTCGAATGGTCCATAAGAACGAGGAATGAAAACGAAAATACCCTAGATCGGATTCTTATTTCTGCCTATTTCTCATCATAAACCATTGCCATCACTACCAGCAACCATCCACCACCACAACCTTGTATTTTATCATCAAGGCAGTCAGCGTCATCCCACCTGCCCAGAATAGCCTTGCCTGTTTGCACAGCGGAGAAGAGAATGCCATGCAGCTGGAAAGCAGTAGACACCGTAAACCCAAACGAGAACGCGGCACGCTGCTGCTTCACCCGCGGCTGCAGCACAGCACAAAGCGACACACCCTTCTGCAGCAGCAGCGGCTCCTCTGGCTTTTCGTTCGAGCTAGCCAAGAAGACTCGAAAGGTGCCCGGATCCCCAGGCTCATAATCCACCCATGCCGTGTATGAATTGCCATCCGTGAACATGAATGGTGAAACCTTCGACACCACAGGTTCCCCTTCACCATTCATGTTCAGCCCCACGCGCTGGTGACTCTCTTTGATGTCGAAAGTAACGGCTATGCTCCGAGCTCCCATCCCGCTGTACCCCACACCACCTGGTTTCCCTGCCTTGGCCGTTGCGGCAATCACAAACGCAAAGCCGCTGGGCCCGGCGCTACCAGAGTGGCGCTTGAGAGCAAAGGTGAAGTTGACAGTGAATGCCAACTCCAAGCCACATCTTGAGGTCACACCAGGCGGGTAGATGAATAGGGTCACAGGCTTTCCTGCAAACTTCCCCACTGTTTCCCGCTGTGTGCCTTTAGTGAGAACCGTGAATGGTGGGAGAATTCCCCTTGAGATGGCTGGAGAGTTGCGAGGGAAGGGCGGTGGTGCATGGGGCAGAGGAAGGATGGGAGTGAGTGGGAGGAGAGCATCGGTTAAGTTGTGCAAACCGGATCATATGGTCAAACCCTATGGGAGTGATGTCCGTAGTTATGGGGTCTGTGCCTTGTCTATGGTGATGGCACCGTGATTCAGCACGCTCAGCAAGTATGATTAGCCTGCGGTAATTGCAGCAGAGCATGGTTTAACTAAATGTGTGCGAGCTAGAAAGCGAGGAAATGAGTAGAAAGTGCATCACTAAGGAGCACCAAGACTACGACGTCCTTAGACCCTTCTCCGTAAAGCATGCAACAATCGCTGCTCACCTACTGAGAATGGGACACAGCGGAGTAATCCAAACTGCTCGGACCGTGCACCACACAGGCACGTGGGAACCAAACTGGGCCCGTCTGGGTAGCACATGCCATGACCACCACAGGCAGCAGTGGTTGGAGAGATGCCACAGAAAGCCAGACACTGCGCTGGTGGCCGCTGTAGTTGACCACAGGCCTTTTCTTGTGCGAAGCAGTTGGCTACGATGGTGTGTATGCTGCAGTTGGCTTCAGACCCTCGCATCACACCCGACAGGTAGTTGCTGGAGAGGTCTGCTTTGATGCCCAAGAGATTTACAAGGGGACCTGTGAGGTAGTTGCGAGAGAGATCGCTGGAGGGGGTAGGGGAGAGAGAAAGGGAGGTGTTATCTTAAAAGAGCTGGATGAAAAATAAAAATAGCAGGAGAGAATAAGGGAGAAGAGAGGTCAATGGAGAGTGAGCACGGGTTTGGACTGGCATCGAGAGGAGGAAAATGGCAGAGAGGGGAGGAGAAGAAGCTAGAATACAACATATAAAGGTGATTTCTCTATCGTAGTTAGTCTACTCATAATTTTTGTGGGTTGGATGTTTCACCAGTATCCCAACCCTACCCAGATGTGATCAGGTTAAATCTCCAACCCACCAATTGAAATAATTTCTGCCGATCTGATCTGACCAAGCATTGCCCTTTGACTTGGCTCGATCGACACCATTTTTACGCGTATGATTTTTCAGAGATTCTAAAAAATCAGATATAATCTTGAGGACTAGAACATAGAGCCATGAGCTTTTCAGGCTGGTAGGCCTGGACCAGGTGGATGGGGTCGACTACACCCGCCGGTTCAGCAAGGTTTCAACCGAACGGGACCACCTTCATCACCTAGTTATACAGGTTTTACAGGCTTGCGATGTGAGGATCTATATTGCAGGGAGGATTGAGGCGGTGAGGTGATTGGACCATCCATGCACGACCTTAGCATATTAATAAGGAACGATCCGTACATAGCGAAACACAACGATCTGGGAAACGGGAAAATGTCGACCTTTGGTTTGGATCTTCAACATTATTGCCCCCCGCCAATAAGTTAAGGTTGATGGATTTCGGCAGGGTTCAGAGAATATCGACTAAAGGTGAGCAAAGAGTTTTCTTAAGTTCATTAATCCTCAAACCTAGCCTTGAGGGTCTGTCTGGGCCAAAGGTTAATTCCAACCACACGTAGGGTTGACTGACCCTAGATAGGCACCCAAACTAAGGTTGCGTGCATAATTACCCAAGCTATGTGCAGCAATATGCAAAATGTAAAGTGGGGTGTGAAATGGAGTGGAAAAGGTTGGAGGGAGGGGCAGAACGGGGAACACAGCCAAGCGAAGGGGCTTACAGGGAAAATAGGTTCTTAAGTTTGCTGATTGCGGTGGGGATTGTGCCAGTGAGCTGATTGCCAGAAAGGGATCTGCACGGATTAAAATGAAGGCCATGCGGTAGGTAGACACAAGAACCTCAAATTTGCAGACAGAGGCAAAAAAAGGCAACATTGTTCCCAAGGTGTGTGCAGAATGGCAGGAGATAGATGGGGTTAGGAGAGTGAAAGGAAATGTGTTGTTTTCTTGCAACAGAGCAAGTATTCACTGTACAGAATGGGCATGGAAGAGAGCATGAGAGAGGGGGGGGAGAGTGAGAGAGAGGGGGAAACAAGACAGCAGTAGCAATAGGAAAAGCAAGTAATGGAGGGGACGGGACAGATCATGTGAGGTGTGATATGACGATGGGAAAAGAGGGAAACGAGAGGTGTGCAAAAGTTGTGAGGTTAAAGGACTAGAAAGGACGACATATTAGAGTGCGAATGGGGAAGCAACAAGAAAGGATGTATGAAAAAAACAGAGGGAGAAGGGTAAAAGCGTTAGGCCTACGTTTCCTTGAATACATTGCTGCTTACATACTTAAGATGTTATAGTGAAGAGTGGAGTGGAGGGTTGTTGGTGCTTGTTATTGTGAGTTCAATTCCAGATCAAAACAAGGCATAGAAACTCATTCTGCTAGAACAAACAACCACAACCACCAACAAAATCATCAACGCGGTGGTTGGTTTGGTTGCACCCAGCTGGCTTGACCAAGTTCGGCTCGAACCCGTTCACATCTGGTACTTGCTGATATCTACTTACAGGAATTGTACGTTTGTGAGGTTGCCGATTGTAGCAGGGATTGAGGCAGTGAGCTGATTGGCATTAAGGAATCTGCAAACACAAACATAAGTGAGCATGTGGCGGATAGATACAGGGAGGCTAAGGTTGCATGGAAACGAGAAGCAGATAGGAGCAACTCCATCAGCACGGATATCTGAAAACCCGCAACAGAGGCATTAAAAGGCAACGCAACGGACATTGTTCCGAAAAGATGTGTGCAGGGTGGGGGGAGATAGATGGAATCAGGAGAGTGAAGGGAGATGTGTTGTTTTGTTGCACCAGGGCATGTAATCACTGTACAAAATGGGCATGGAAGAGAGAATGAGAGAGGGGGGAGAGAGAGTGAGAGAGAGGCAGAAACAAGATAGTAGCAGTAGGAAAACCAAAGAATGAGGAAGACGGAACAGATCATGTGAGGTGTGATATGACGATAGGAAACGAAGTGTGCAAAGGTTTTGAGGTTAAAGGACCAAAAAGGACAACAGGTTAGAGTGCGAATGGAGAAGCAACAAGAAAGGATGTATGAAAAAAATAGAGGGAGAAGAGTATAAGTGTAAGGCCTACGTCTCTCAAATATATTGCTGATTACATACTTTAGGCAATCCTTGCTTCAACTGGTTTGACCCAAACTGTAAGAGATCGAACCAAGCCCCTTCATGTTTTGAACTTGAGGGCTTTAATGTTGAGTCATGACCTGATCAGGCTGGTTCAACCCAAACCAAGGTGGTTGATTTGGTTGCACCAGCCGGTTTGACCAGGTTCGGCTCAAACCCATTCATGTTTGGCATTTGCTTGTGTCTACTTACAGGGAACGTAGATTTTGGAGGTTGCCAATTGTAGCAGGAATTGAGCCAGTCAGCTGATTGGAATAAAGGACTCTGCAAGCACGAACATAAGTGGGCATGTGGTAGATAGATACAGGGAGGTCAAGGTTGCATGGAAACGAGAAGCGGATAGGAGCAACTCCACCAGCAGCGGAAATATGAAAAACTGCAACAGAGGCATAAAGGCAACACAACGGACATTGTTCCCGAGATGTGTGTTGAATGGGAGGAGATGGATGTGTTAGGAGAATGAAGTGAGATGTGTTATTTTCATGTATTCACTGTACAGAATGGGCATGGAAGAGAGCATGAGAGAGGGGGGCGGGACAAGGCCGATCGCGGTGGGCAAGTGTCCGCTCCGCATGATCGCCAAAGCCGCGCTCTTCGTGATGGCGCCGGCCGCCAAAACGCACTTCGCTCCCCTTCAGTTCTAAGTTACTATAGCAGGACAGGAGGGATCGAAGCAGCCATCCACACAGCTCGGACCTGCCTTCAAGTGGACCCGGAAGCAGTGGCCCTACAGATCGACCTGGCAAACGCCTTTAATGCAGTTGAGAGAAGAGCGGTATTCGAAGGGCTGAGAAATGAAGCACTGGAGAGCCTCATCCCCCTGGCCTGCCTCTCCTACGGGGCCCCGTCTTCTCTCTTCCTGTACGACTTCGCGGCAGCGCCACTGCAAAGCGACAGAGGTGTTCACCAAGGGGATCCCCTCGGTCCCCTCCTGTTTGCCGCCAGCACCCACCCATGCCTCGTGGCAACAGCAGCGGCTCATCCTCAGGTGGTCCCGCTTGCATACGCCGACGGCATCACCCTGCTTGGCAAAGCGTCAGCCTGCTCTGCAGCCTTCAACCACCTCACGTCTGGCCTCGCCTCCCTGGGCCTCCTCACAACCCGGCCAAGTGCGCGGACTGGTCCGCCGCACCGTTTGACCTCACCTCCGTACCTCCTGGCAGCCCCATCTCAAGTGAAGTGCTGCAGATCCTTGGCAGCCCCATCGGCACGCCACAGGGCTGTGGGCCACTGCGGTTAGGGAAAGACTCACGGCAGCAGCCGAACCACTCCCGTTGCTGGCGCAAATGAATCCCCAGCTCTGTCTCCTCCTCCTCACACGCTGCGTCAGCCGCCGCGCCTCCTTCCTGGCCAGAACAACGACGCTGGAGGATTTGCCCGTGGCAGAGTTGTCGGCCAGGGGGGAGCGGCTGCTACATACCTTCTTAGATGCGGCACACATAGTATCACCAAGGAGGAACGCGGAAAGGAGGCGTATTTGGCGGCAGGCCGCGCTGCCCATAACCTTGGGGGGCTTGGGCATCACAGACCCTGTCGTTGAAGGGAGCTACACGTACCTTGCATCGGTGATCGGCGCTTCCCACCTTCTGCACTCGCTCATCGACACCCTGCACCCTGCCTTAGCTGCCCTCCTCCCCACTATGGACCCCTCACCCGACTCCGCAGCGGCCCTGCCTTCGCGCCTAGCAGCAGCCGAAGCGGCCCTCCCCCCAGATGCGTTGGAGGGGAAGAGTGACCCCAAGGGCCTTAAGCTTCAACAGTCCCTCGCCCTGGCAGTCCACACCCGCCGCCACATCGGGGTGCTCAACGAGGCAAGGCGGATGCGCCCCAACCCCCTCTCTAGACATGCACAACGGATGCAGTCGCTGCTGGGCCCAGGAGCAGGGGATCGGCTGCTGGCGATCCCCCTCACTTCAGTGCTCTGGATGGGCCCCTCTCAGCTCTCAACTTCAGCTGCCTTCCGCCTAGGCCT